AAGGGTGAGTCGATCAGACTCCTTCATGTTCGTCAGGGCCGTGACGCGACCCTGAGGCACAATGTAGTAGGGATTTGACCTAGAGAAGCCAGCAGCCTCGAGCAGGTTGACAACATCGTTCTTGGTGACAACTTTGCGATCGACCGAGTATTCGTCCTTCTTTGTTCCAATAGTGCGACGCAGAATGACCTCCTTGCCTCCTGTTGGGAAGCGCTCATCGCTGTTGTCGAAGATAATCTCGACATATGCAGACATGACAGCCGATCCTGATCCTTCATGCAGCAGAGCCTGGCGCTCCTCGCGAGTCATCTGAGTGTAGGCGTCGCTCAGAACGAAGCGCATCGCCGCGAAGAAGTTACTCTTGCCAGATCCATTGCGACCGACGATGACATTCGTACCGGGGGAGAAGGGTTCAATAACGGTCTGTTCCTTGTAGCTATCGTCAAGTCAGTGGGGTGTCACTCTCTGCGGTCTTGTCGCAAGGGGCACACCTCTTGAAGCCTTGGATAATGCACTGTTTAATGTACATGGTGAGGGGGAGAGTCGCGGCCTCAAGGGCGGCGATTTTGCGCGGGTGAAGTCGCTGATGGAGTTCGCTGCGAGTCGCGCGGTATTTTCATCGGTATATTGACAAGTCGTTGCAGTCGATTGTTGGTGGTGGGGATAAACGACGCGTCCAGGAATCGCGAGGTCCTCAAGCATGGGACGTGGGAGGTCAGGGCGCGTCAAACCTGGGGTGCGGTCGCTCATTTGGCAGGCGGTATGTGCCTGAGGACAAAAGGCAACCAGAGCAAGCAGAATCTCACAGTTTTGTCCACAGTGTGCGACAGATATGTACTGAACTCACACTGTCCGCGACTTCTACTTAATCAACTGTGGTCTTCTATCTTCATCGGTACGTAGGACCTGTGGCTTGCACGATGACGCTATTTGCTATTGTACGTCGAAACACTGTGAATCCATCTGGGCGGAGCACTCTTTATTGTTATGCTGCCCATAAAAGACTTGTTCTCAGATTGCAACATTGTGTGGCCTTGCCTACAGCGACTCGAGAGTCCGACTTCCATGCCTGGTGGCCGTCTTCACTGGGCGAACGGCCCAAGGAAGCTTCAATGTTCCGATGCCCCTGACTCGAGAAACACCATTCGTCTGTTGTTTCAATAAGCTTGTCAAAAAAATTGGTTGACCTTCCGATACAGCAACGGCCGTTGAGTCCATCCAAACGCAACCTACTCAGGCACAGTGAAACTCGCCGATCTGCGGTTGGGTCTCTCAAGATCCATCCATTGCTGCATATAGTTTGAAGAGCAGCGGTCCGACTCGGCCTCCCCAACTGTCCTCGGAGACTTCTTACGCAATCAAGTATCTATCATCGCAGAAGAACAATATGTGAATATCCGACAATGCCAGGAACTCGTCTAAGAGGGACACACTAGTCCGGAGAGGCACATTCTCTTCGAGACAGCACCTGTCAAGCATTAATGTGGAGGCGTAAGATGTCAACCCGTTTTTCTCTAGGGTCCTTCTTTCGCAACCCTCGACCGTTCCGACACTTCCGCGCAGACCTTTAACTGCTCGCAGGGTCTGCGCCTGTGCGCCTGTGCGCAAGCAGAGCTGTCTGTGACTCTGTGTCTTGGGGAGGCCGGAGCAAAAGTTTTCCTGGTGCGCAGCGACCGGGAGACTTGATTACTGGTGTGCTTGAGCAGCATTCATGACACCGGGCGATCAGCAAGTAGTTTGAGCTTCAACATGGATGGAGCTGGGTCCGTCCAATATGCACCCCAGTCAAGTCGTCGGGAAGCTATGCGCACTGACCACATGGACGACACAGAGTACACGTACTCCCTCCCTCCAACTTTTGACGGGACGGCCACGTTGCTGGATAATAAGGTGTCGGCGGGAGAGCAGGAATCAAGGCGATTCGCTGGTGCAGTCCGAAATTCAGAGGACGAAAAAAAAAAGAGAACCGATGTCATCCGCAAGCCAGCAGACGGAAAGCCAGGAGACAGAGTAGCATTCATCGATGGCTGCGTTTTGTCTTGCCTGGTCAGTTGCCAGGGGGAAACCAGGAGTCAGGGGAGTCGAAAAGGCCGAGGCGGGTAAGACAGACACTACAGCAGCTCGCCCTGGAACGGCCGGGGACGGACGGGACGAGCGGAGCACGACTGAGATGAAATGAGGCCATCGCAATCCAAAAGTCCGTAATGGTTTGTTGTTGGAAGCAGAGCATGTGCTGTATAAGTGGCTGTGATCCAGTCACCTCAGCCAGAACTTGCAAAGACAAAAGGACGGACTGGTGGCCAAGACGAATCAGAGCAGCATGCCGTTGGGACGCCTGAATCTCGGTCTCGGGACCCTGGGGGAGCTACGCCGAGATTCCTAAGCTCACCTTACCCCACGTCTTATGGCAGCCGAAACAGCTTGTTTCCCATTCGAGGCATCGGCCTAGACTGGACGGAGCTGCACCAGCATGCCTGTGATGATCCTCGCGCTGGCGTCAGTCTGCGGCAGTCGCAACCCGCCATTGCCATCTATCCCTCGCCCTTCTCATCCCTCACTTAATCCATCCATCCAAAGCTGGCAGTCATCCAGTGGCTCTTTACCGCAACAAGCCTAGTCGTCGGATTTACTGGCGGCGCAAGGTCGTGAAAGGTTGCCTGGTGCCCAGTGCTGCTGATAGGGCGAGAGGATGAGGAGGTCATCTTGTCTATGTATAGCGCAGGTCAGGTCTAGGCTCCAAGGGGCAGCCTGGCCAGCTAATCGCAGGGCCAGATTGGAAGCCTTGGACCGATCTGTCGAGTTGGTTTAATCAGATGAGATGGATGACCCGCGGTTGGCGTGTTGCTGAAGAGTAGCCCATACCACGGCAACATGGCAACCTGGTATTTCGGTGCGGGAAAAAGCCACGCCCAGTCAGTCGGTGGCAAGGGGCAACGGTGGTGGCAGGTATCGAAGAGAAACCGCTAAAGATCTGCCGCCAATTCTTTTGAGTCTGGGAAAGGGACGAGACATCAAGGCAGGGCCGTCGACCATCTCACGCAAGGGAGAGGAGATTGGATGGCGCATGCGAACCCTGAAGTCTGGTCACTGGCTCACAGTAATTTGATGATTCCATTGCAGACTATGGAAAAGTGCCGAGCGGAACTTTGCGCGTGGGGATAAATGCCAGTCTGTCAGAGACCGAGGAAAACTCAAAAGCATAAGAGTTCCGAGGGTTCGCGAGGCCAGGCTTGTGTAGTGTGGTGGTCAGCGAGTCTGTTGCTGCATACATGTACATGCGGGTGCGCTTTTCAGAGTTGGTGATGCTTTATTGACGAGGTTGAGTAAAGCTTTGCCATCGGCCTCGTTCAGGGATGCGCCTGAGAGATGGTGTCGCTGGCTTGTGGCATCGAAATGCATATATTGGTTCGCAAAAGTCGCGGCGCACTGATGACACCTCCGTCCAACTGTTCCAGTGAAACTATCCGGGACAATGATGAAATTGAAATCGTGACCTTAGCACCTGCAGCCAAGGTGATGATAGACACGGGATATCGAAAGGGAGAAGTGGATGACAAGGAACGATGACATGGAACGGCGGCCGGAGAGGAGGAGGAAGAAGACGACGACGACAACAGGCAGGTTCCAGACAGGGTTTGTTGTTTGCTGGGGAGTGGAGGTGGACCAGGGACGCTAGATGACGCTAAGGAGATTAAGCGAGACGCCGTCGCTGCGTGAAGGAACGGCTGGCTTTCCTTCCATTTTTTTTCTCTCACGGGCCCACGGGTAATTATAAAAGTACTGCAGGCATACCTTTAAGACTGTCCGGGCCCCTCCACCCCAAAATTTCCCTCCAGAGCGACGTCGAGGTGCTGCCCTTTCGACGCGACGCCATTAACCCTCGCATCCCATTGGCTCTTTCCTCCCCGGTTGGTCAGCACCATAGGCATCAACAGCACCCAAACCACCCAAAGCCTCACCAGACCTTCCAAGTTCCAGTAAGTAAGTGTACGGAGTACCTCACCTTCTTATCCTGTTAGTTCTGCACCTCAGGCAGGCACCATCCACAACCACGCGCCGTCACGCACTGCACAGCATTCCCGCCTCGCACCTGGCTGGCTGGCACTGCGTCCTCCCCAATCTCAAAATGCCCATATCTAGGCGCGCCTTCTTCCTTCCCACTTTAAGGCGTCATCCCACCCGTTGTTTCGAGCCTCACCTCACCTTTTTAATAGGCGGTTTTTTTTCCCCCTTCCTTCTCTCCAGCCCACGACCTGCCGCTTATGTCTGGCAACAGCAGCTTTTGCGACAACTCAGCAAATACCCCAAATATCCACGTCGCGTTTCTCAACGACTTCTCACGTGAGGACAACATCTTGTCCAATTCTACGTGTTAACGCTACTTCCTCGGGTCTTTTATCTTCCACAACTTACAACAAGCTCCGACACGGCGCGGCGACTTCACCTGCATCGTCCTACTTCTGATGCATGCATGGTATCCGTAGTCACATCCTTTGATCAAGACTCGGCTTGATCCGCAGTGGACAGGATCGCGATTTGTATCCGGCCCCATCGACATTACCCGCTTTCTCAATTTCGGTACGTATTCGCTTCATCAAGTCCGCGTTTCTTTCATTTCCCCGATATGCTCATATCCACCCCAAACCTTGAGTTGGCCGTCTTGAGCCAGGCATGGTCTATCGATCTACCTGCCCTTCACTTCACTATCGAGATCACCTCACCACGGATGTTAATACCCCAATTGCCATGATTCAGTCTTGAATCAGATGCATCATATCTGTTTGGGCACGGGAACATGGCATGTACCTCGTGTTTAAGCTTCGGCATCCCTCTTACCTACCTCTTGCCTTATCCATGCACCTCCATGCGTGTACACTGTCATTCACCCTTCGCCATCCAGTTTCTGGACTCACATCATCTCCTTTTGGACTCATGGTTAACATTCCTCGCAGAAGCCCAGTCTGATGATGAAACTCCCATCAAATCCATCTTAATTCAAAATGGCGTCGAGGTATGGTTCCTACCTGGTGATCTTTGCGATCGCTCAGATCCGTTCAAGTCAGAACTAGCACTAACCTTGCTTCAAAAGACTCGACAGATTGGTCACGTGAGTCAAATATGACATCCCTTTTCATCATAGCAACATAACATACTGTTGTTGCCTGCCTCATCTCAATCCGGCTCAACTTCAAATACAGCTTTGATGATGCCCATGCTGAGCGAACTTGAGGCTCAGTCGCATCAGAGACTTTATATCATCGCGTCCTGAACTGGTCACTAACTGCCTCACGTAGGATTCTCGAAACGGGAAGCACCCGTCTGATTCGTGACACCGCTGTCAACCAACTTGCCGATTGGCAAAAGCAGCACCCTGATGAGCTGTTCAACCTTCTTTCCAGAGTTGTGCCTTACCTCCGACACAAGGACTGGGAGACACGCTCTACAGCAGCCAAGGCGATAGGCAAGATCACCGAGAACGCACCTCTGTATGACCCTAATGAAGATGAGGACTTTGCACCAGTCAAGAAGGATGAACCAGAAGAAAACGGGCACGTGAAGAAGGAGGAGGAAAAGGACGTTACCTCTTTTTCTACCAATGAGCTCCTCAAGTTGGGATCGCTCAACGTAGAGCATATCATAAAGTTTGGTCGCCAACTTCTGAGAGGCGGGAACATCGAGTATGCTCTGGCTTCATTAGACCCCCCGGCACGACTCGCACACCAAAAGAAAACCCTCAACGGACGACTTGGCCTGTTGGGCAGGGTTTTCGAGGATGCCGAGATGCCTGTCCTGGTCGAAAAAGAGCCTAGCCCTCTAACCCCACAAGAGTCGGCAAATGGCCACAATGGCAGCAAGGAGAGCGCAACCGCCCACGGTCAAACCCAGCCGGCAGAGGAAGCAGGCTTGAGCTCAAGGCAACTCAACGTTCTCAAGAGGAAACGCAAGAGAGAGTTGCAGAAGGCTGCGCAGGGCAAAGGGGGGTTTGGAGACTTGACCATGAGAAGGACTACGACAGCAGGTTCCGAAGGTTTCGACGAAACTCCAGCAGCAGATGCCGACACGAAGCAGAAGAATGGGAAGGTGAACGACTACTTCAACTTGGAAAGACCTGCGGAGTTCGACGAGGAATCAAAGGTTGTCAGCGAGTTCAAAGGACAAGTGATCCCGATCAAATCGGAAATCGAGGTTGACGAGACCATGGAGGGTGCTGAGTGGCCCTACGACAGATTGTGCGATTTCCTCAAGGTTGATCTTTTTGACCCTTCCTGGGAGACCCGCCACGGAGCTGCGATGGGCATTCGAGAGGTGATTCGTGTCCACGGAGGTGGAGCTGGCAGGATTCGTTCAAAGTCACGGGCTGAGAATGACCGCTTGAATCAGGCTTGGCTGGACGACCTGGCTTGCCGACTCTGCTGCGTCCTGATGTTGGATAGATTTACCGACTACAGTTCCGATACCTCGGTCGCTCCGATTCGCGAAACGATCGGTCAATCTCTCGGATCAGTCCTCCGCCACATTCCGGCAGAATCTGTTCACGGCATCTACAAGATTCTCTATCAAATGGTCATGCAGGACGATCTTCAACTCGATATGCTTCAGTGGTCCGTCTGCCACGGTGGCATGGTTGGCCTGAGATACGTTGTTGCGGTTAGGAAAGACCTGCTGCTGGAGGACAGTGAGATGATCGATGGCGTCGTTCGTCTAGTCATGAAGGGCCTGGAGGAACACGACGACGATGTCAGAGCAGTGAGCGCCGCAACGTTGCTCCCCATGACCAAGGAATTCGTCACATTACGACCCGGTTCCATTGACAGCCTCATCAACATCATGTGGGGCAGTTTGGCCGATCTTGGTGACGACCTGAGCGCCAGTACCGGTAAGATCATGGACCTACTTGCGACACTCTGCAGCTACCCTGAAGTACTGCAGGCCATGGAAACGTCGGCGGCGCAAGATGAGGAGCGGTCTTTCACCTTGTTGGTGCCGCGTCTGTATCCTTTCCTCCGACATACCATTACTTCCGTCCGCTTAGCTGTGCTCAAGGCTCTAATGACCTTCGCGAATCTGGGAGCTGAGAATTCTCGAGGCTGGCTCAATGGAAGAATTTTACGATTGATCTTCCAGAACGTCTTGGTCGAGAGGGATAGAGAAACACTGGCAATGTCTTTGGACGTTTGGACAGCCCTGGTTCGCTCACTTGCGCAGACGCCCGAAATCCTTGCCGACGAGTTCGCTGCGCATGTTGAGCCTCTGATGAGACTAACACTGCACCCGATTGGTGTGTCCCGGCACCCCCTACCCATGCCCGCCCACCTATTCCAGAAGCCATCAGGCGGCAACTATGCACCTGTTGTCGTCACACCCGCCCGGAAGGCCTCCTCCCCCGACGGACCCGAGAGAGCAAACAAGCGACGTCGCAAATCTGCTAAGACGGATGACGCTCCTGTTACCTCCCATACCCATGACGTAGACGGGCACATGATCCAGGGAGACGTGGACCTTGTCGGCATGGATACTCTGATACGATCGAGAGTATCGGCCGCCAGAGCCATGGGCCTGATCATGTCCTTTATTCCTGTCGCCAGCCTCGCTGAGTACGATCAACTTCTTCTCGCCGGTATCTCGGACCGGGCGTCGTCTACACAGCTCTCGGCATGCATGGTCATTGACGAGTATGCCACAAACGGCCCTGCCGAAGGAGCCCAAAGATACGCCTCGCCGCTACAGAAGATTATTGAGACTGAACGCCCTGCTCACTATAGCGACCTGGTCAGCTATATGCATAGGGTGCGATCCCAGTGTCAGCAACTTCTCAATATGTTCCGCGATCACGGGAAAGTGTCCAGTGGGCGGCTTCCAACACTAGCAGTTCTGGTTCAGGGTGACGAGCAAGCAGGCCCTGGTGCCTTTTCCATTGCGGTCGCAGACAAGGTCGTTGGAGAAGATTTCGACAAGCTTAAGAAGGCTATGTCTCCAGGACAGCGTCTGGTTGCCAGCCAAATGCTCGCCGAAGCCAGAGAAGTGGCCGTATCTGCGATTAGCGACGCCAAGACCGCCAAGGATTCACGAGATGTGCGCATCAAAGCAGGTGCAGCTTGCGCCTTGGTTGCAATCAAGGCCCTTCCTAAGAAACCTAGTCCACTGATCAAGGGCATCATGGACAGTATCAAGACGGAAGACAATCAGGTGCTCCAGAGCCGGGCTTCGGCGACTATTGCAAGACTTGTCCAAGTGTTCAACGAGATGGGTCGTCGCGGACCGGCCGACAAGGTTGTTTCCAACCTAATCAAGTTCTCATGTGTCGAGGTTGCCGAGACTCCAGAGTTCCCTGTCCACGCAAGCAAGACGGATTGCGTGCTTTCAATGCAAAAAGAAGAAGATCGGGTAGATCACGCGGACGCCGCCAAGTGGGCAAAAGAAGTCAAGGCTGCCCGCATCACCCGTCGTGGCGCCAAGGAGGCGCTGGAGATACTATCCAAGACCTATGGCGCGGGGCTGCTCACAGCCGTACCTACTATCAGGGTATTCATGGAGGACCCTCTTGTTAAGGCATTCTCTGGCACATTGCCGGCCGAGGCTAAGGATCCCGAGGATACCTTTGGCCAAGAAATCGTCGATGCCTTGTCCCTCATTCGGACGCTCATGCCAACCCTCGACAAGGCTATGCATCCCTTCATTATGGAAAAGGTGCCGTTAGTCATCAAGGCCTTGCATTCGGAGCTCTCTGTCTTCCGTTACATGGCAGCCAAATGCATGGCTACCATTTGTAGCGTCATCACGGTCGAGGGTATGACCGCTCTCGTCGAGAACGTCTTGCCATCCATCAGCAATCCCATCGATCTCAACTTCCGCCAAGGTGCAATCGAAGTCATTTACCACTTGATTGCTGTGATGGGCGACGCAATTCTTCCTTACGTTATCTTCCTCATTGTTCCCGTCCTGGGCCGCATGAGCGACTCCGATAACGAGATTCGTCTGATTGCGACGACATCTTTTGCAACATTGGTCAAGCTCGTGCCCCTGGAAGCAGGCATCCCCGACCCTCCTGGTCTGTCTGAAGAGTTGCTCAAGGGAAGAGATCGAGAACGAACCTTTATTTCCCAACTGCTGGACCCCAAGAAAGTGGAATCGTTCCAGATTCCTGTTGCCATTAAGGCAGAACTTCGTTCATACCAGCAAGATGGTGTCAACTGGCTTCACTTCCTGAACAAATACCACTTACACGGGATTCTTTGCGACGACATGGGTCTCGGAAAGACCTTGCAAACCATCTGCATGGTTGCCAGCGACCATCATCAGCGCGCTGAGGAGTTCGCCAAGACGGGCGCACCCGACGTCCGCCGCCTCCCTTCTCTGGTTGTCTGCCCTCCTACACTGTCCGGTCACTGGCAACAGGAGATCAAGACTTACGCGCCTTTCCTCAGCGTTACTGCCTATGTGGGTCCGCCAGCTGAGAGGAAGTCTATGAAGGATAGCCTGGATAAGACCGATATTGTCGTCACCAGCTACGATGTCTGCCGAAATGATGCCGACGTCCTTGCAAAATACAACTGGAACTACGTCATTCTGGACGAGGGACATTTGATCAAAAACCCGAAGGCCAAAATCACCATTTCCGTCAAGAAGTTGGCCAGCAACCATCGGTTGATTTTGACAGGGACACCTATCCAAAACAATGTGTTGGAGCTCTGGTCTTTGTTCGACTTCTTGATGCCCGGTTTCCTTGGTGCTGAGAAGGTCTTCCTGGACCGTTTTGCAAAGCCCATTGCTGCAAGTCGCTTCAGCAAAGCGTCTTCAAAAGAACAAGAAGCAGGTGCTCTGGCCATTGAGGCTCTTCACAAGCAAGTCCTGCCTTTCCTTCTACGACGCCTCAAGGAGGAGGTTCTCGATGACCTTCCGCCAAAGATCTTGCAGAACTATTACTGCGACTTGAGCGACCTTCAGAAGAAGCTGTTTGATGACTTCACCAGAAAGCAAGGCAAGAAGCTGCAAGAAGAGGCCGGTCGTGAGGATAAGGACGCCAAGTCACACATTTTCCAGGCCCTGCAGTACATGAGAAAGCTATGCAACTCTCCAGCCATGGTCATGAAGCCTGGACACGGTATGTACGAAGAGACTCAACGAATCCTTAACAAGCAAGGCACCAGTCTCGAGGATCCGGTTCATGCACCCAAATTGACCGCTTTGCGAGACCTACTCGTCGACTGCGGCATTGGTGTAGAAGAAGCTGAATCGAATGATCCTCTGTATCAGCCAATCAAGCCTCATCGCGCTCTCATTTTCTGCCAGATGAAGGAGATGTTGGACATGGTTCAAAACACGGTGCTCAAGACCATGTTGCCGGGTGTCACGCACCTTCGTCTAGACGGTGGAGTTGAAGCCAACAAGCGACAAGACATTGTCAACAAATTCAACAGCGACCCTTCATACGACGTCTTGCTCCTGACCACTAGTGTTGGAGGTTTAGGACTCAACCTGACGGGTGCCGACACGGTCATTTTTGTTGAACATGACTGGAACCCACAGAAAGATATGCAGGCCATGGACCGAGCTCACCGCATCGGACAGAAGAAGGTTGTCAACGTGTACCGCCTGGTGACGAGAGGCACCCTAGAAGAGAAGATTCTGAGCTTGCAACGCTTCAAAATTGACGTCGCTTCAACCGTGGTCAATCAACAGAATGCGGGCTTGGCCACGATGGATACAGACCAGATTTTGGATCTCTTCAACCTCGGGGACACAGGACCCAGTCTCATATCAGATAAGCCTCAAAACTCGATGGAGGGAAGAGAGGAAGACATGGTGGATATCGAAACGGGAGATGTCGTCACGGGCAAGCAACCTGGCAAGAAGGCTTGGCTCGACGATTTGGGCGATCTTTGGGATAATCGCCAGTACGAGGAGAGTTTCGACCTGGATGGTTTTTTGAAAACCATGCAGTAATAATACCCCCGATTCACTATGGTCGTATCGGGAGGAGGATGGAGGCCTTTGAGAGCCTTGTACATGGAGTTTAGCCTGGCATCTGGTTTAGACAAGAGCGTCTTGGATGCCCTTTCAGTAGGGAGGCTTGAGACCTCCCATGCGATAGTGTACTCATAACGAATAGTGTGCGCGGAACGACCTGTACCATATGATATTAGCAGTTTTATGACTGAAACGATGAGAGCTGGGTGAAGCAAACAGCTGAGCGTTCAGATTACCTCACCTTTTCATGAACCAATTTTCCACTATACCTTGCCTCCTCATCTTATATTTGGCTGAAAGCTGACACTATGGTTGGCCTTTGTCTGTGGCCGATCTGCTCAACGCCCTGCGCTACCTGGAACGGGTCCAAAGACTGCATTAAAACAAGTCAACATTCTTCTTTTGCGTCTGAACAATGAAAACATACTGATTAGATAATACACCAGGCACTCGCAGTTGTGTTTTGTGAGGTTTGCATAGAATAAGGTAGGTTGCTCAACCCTCCATCAACATTCTGTGTTTAGCCAAGCAGCAAAAAGGATCACCACCAAAATATCAGGACCATCCTCATCATCACCTCGCTCAAGAAGACTTGTCGGGACCATGACCGCAAACGGGGCATCTTAAGGTCTTGTGCAATTTTTTTCGGATCTACATCTCGAAGTCAGCGAGGATTACTCGACCTTTGACTTCCCCGCCACGGCGCCCTATCTCCTACTCTCTGGAGATGTCGGGAGTCTATCTGACTATGACAGCTATCTCGGGTTCATCCAGCGCCAGACAGATCGGTACAAGGGCGTCCTGCTGGTGCTGGACAATCACGAGTTTCACGATCTCACGTACGACGGAACCATCGAAGCGGCAGCAAGGCTTGAGACAGAGCCGTCGTTGGGGAGGAAGTTGCATATACTCCACCGGCTCAGGTTCGATATCACCGTTACGAACGTGAGTATCCTCGGATGCACTTTGTGGACGATGGTCCCGGAGGAGGCGAGGGCTACGGTCGTGGGCAGGGTCAAGGATTTCCAGCGCATTGAGGGATGGAGTCTCGAAGCACACTGCGCGGCTCATGGGGAGGACTTGGCGTGGTTGAAGAGGGAATTGCGGGAGACGATGGTGCGAGGGAGGGAGGTGGTTGTTGCGACTCACCATGCACCTTCATTGAAGGAAACGTCGGAGCCTAGGTATCAGGGCAGCCCGTGGTCCTCGGCCTTTGCGACTGACGTCTTGGAGGAAATAAACCCATCAGTTGGGGTACGATATTGGGTGTTTGGACATACGCACTTTTCAACGGATTCAGTGGTGAAGGGCGTTAGGATCGTGAGCAACCAGAGAGGATATGTTGGGTATGGCAGAGTTGAGAAGGAGGGGTTCGATTCTACAAGGGCATTGTCTTTTTAGAAGCTAGTAATGGATCTGTGCCTGAAAACTAAGAGAAGAAGATTCGCATTGTATGAGATGGTCTTGATTCAGATGTCGGCTTGTAGTCGGGAGAGTTGTTTCACTGTGCAATCCCAACCAGGCTGTGTGACAAAGTCAACACAAAGAGTGAACTGTACGTAGAAGGTGAGGTAAGGTAGGTACCTCACTGCTGATCTCATAGCTGAGCTCAGCTACAAGGATAGCAATACGGCGGCGGGGTAATGCCCCGCACCTGTGATGCACCGGACTGGCTCTCCACCAAGCTCCTGCCAACCCGCAGCCATTGACAAGCAAAATCCAGAACATTCCACTCAACAACATTGCCTTGGAAGCCAACAACTATTGCCCGCATCAGCTGAATTGGAAGCCAACAACTATTGCCCGCATCAGCTGAAGGCAATCACGCATCTGAACCGTTTTGCGAAATCATCCGTCAAGATGCCTGTAGACTACAGCAAATGGGTACGTTTCACAGCCTCCATTCCCTCCCCGACTGTGGTCTTTGTGACGCCGATCGTAATGGCTAACGTGTAAATGCGATAGGACGCGCTGGAGCTCAGCGACGACTCGGATGTTGAGGTCCACCCCAACGTCGATAAGCGCTCCTTCATCCGAGCAAAGCAGAACCAGATCCACCAGGAGCGCTTACAGCGCAAACACCAGATCGAGACACTCAAGTACGAGCGCATCATCAACGATGGCCTGATGAAGCGCATATCCAACCTCTTGGACGCCCTCAAGTCCCATGCCTCCGAGGCCGAGACCCGCAACCCCGGCGAGGTGGCTTTCCAAGCTGTCATGGAATCCGCCGGGAAGCCCGAAGATGATCAGCCGCCCCCGCGTCCCGAGGGCATCCACGCCGACTCGGAGCCGCTGCCCAGCTTCTCCAAGATGATGGCCGTGCTGCTGGACCAGGTCAACAAGGAACTAGACGAGAAGAAGCCCGAGAACCGCTACAAGGCCATGCTCGAGGGCGTTGAGGGACACTTGACCAAGGTGCAGAATCTGCAAAAGGAATTATTTGCAAAGCTGGCCGAGCTGGAGAAGGAGGAGGGACGCAAGATCACGAGCGAGGGCATCCATACGGGCTTCGACAGCTCGCACGTCAACAAGTCCAAGGACACGGATAAGAAGGAGGAGCAGCGCAAGCCGGAGCTCCTGAACCCCAATTTTGACATGACACAGTCCCTTCCGGCCAAGTCAAGCACATCGTACGACGACGACGAGGAAATCGAGGCGTCGCCCGCCGCCAAGAAGTTTGCGCAGATCAAGGCCGAAGACTACACGTCCAGCGCGCAGTACCTTTCCAAGAACCCGCAGATCCTGACGGAGCGGGAGACGGACGGCCTGCTGGTCCTCGCATTCGACGCCGCCCTCGAGAGCAAGGACGACTACTGCCGGCAGTGCGTCCACCAGGCGCTGCTTCTGCAGTACTGCCGGGCGCTGGGCAAGGACGGCGTGGGCATGTTCTTCAAGCGCATCACGACCAAGGGCCACCAGGCGCAGGAGGTGTTCTACAAGGACGTGCAGGACACGTACGGCAAGATCAGGAACCGGGCGCGGGAGATTGTCAGGGAGCGCGCCAGCGAGCCCGAGGGCGTGGAGCAGATCCAGCTGCACGCGGTGGAACCCGGCACGGAGATCAAGATTACGATCCCGCCCAAGGACAGCGAGGACCCCGCCGTGAAGCAGGGACGGGATATTTTCGAGGCATTCAGCGCCGACTTCCAGAAGGCTCTGGAGAGCGGGAGCCTGGATGAGGTTAATAAGGTGCTGGGCAAGATGAAGGTTGAAGAAGCCGAGGATATTGTCGGCAAGCTTGGAGACGTAAGTGACTGCTTCTGCCCCGAGATGAGTGCGGGATATACGATGAGCCGATTCGCTGACTAAAGTTCAAACTACAGGCCGGCATCTTGAGTCTGGAGGAGCAGATTATCGACGCAACGACGGAGGAGGGCCAAAAGGCGCTCAAGGACATGGAGGCGGCGCAAGCCGGTTCCGAGTCCGGATACGCCCCGGACCCTGAATAAATGAGGGGACAGAAAGCATTCGAAAGTCGACTAGATCCGGAGCATGGGGTAGGGTCAGAGCACATGGAATAGACATCGAGGGAGGCATGATGACGAACAAACTGATGGACACGGAGGATGGTCTGGTCACTGAGCAAGCAGATTAGAGAGACGGAGAGACACAAGACATCGAAAAGAAGATTCTGAGCATTGAACACGACATGAGCATTGCATGAACTGCGGTTGCGTCCATTCCAAGGGGACGTGCGACGGGGGGTCCTGGCAAGGGCATTGGCGAAGTCGTCCAACGAATGGCAAGACGAACGGCGCGCTCGACTCTTCGTGACGGGCGCCTTTCCCGACGAACCATGAACGATTTGGATCAGAGCCATGGGGCAGGGCAGAGTTACGTACGCCTCGAAATGGACCGTGTAATCCTTGATGTATACACCTTTAGCCGCTAGACAGACAGACCACACGTGTTTGTTATACGTTAGTCACCGAGGAGGCTAGTGCCGCGACAAGACCTCATGCCTTAACTACGGACGAATAGAGGTCCCGGAGCGCGGGGATATGGGTGCATGGTGCCCGGTCGAGCGCCGAGGTGCCGGATACCCCAATGATCAAGGTCGCCTGAGAAGTTGACATTTTCCTCAATTGCGTATTGTTTTTTGTTTTTCTTTGCCTCGTGAGGCTCAGCGAAAGAGGGAGGGGCCGAGAGCGTGGGGCATGAGCGATTGGACGTGGCGCTGCGTCGCGGTGTTGCTGCCCTCCTTTGTCCTTCGGATGGAGGTCGACGATGTTCTGGACTGGGAGGCTCCGTTGAGTTCTAGTAACTGCTAAATGGGAGCCCCGGTCTAGGCAACCTCTTGGTATACTACGTAGTTCGTTCCAAGCCTAGTGGAGCACAGCTCCGACGTCTTGGATCGGACCCAGAAATGAACTAGACGTACGAATTATGTGTTTTGACGCGTGCCTAGCCAATCGCGCGGGCATGGCATGTTCTTGGTTCGTCTGGGAAAAGGGATCCTTATGGGAATGTGCTTGGATGAGGGAGAAAATGTGACGAACATGTAATTACAAAGTCCGCGCGCGGAGGGAGGCAAAAGACGGCTTGTGCGCACCACGCAAGCAAAAAGTTTTCCTTCTTGTTCTGCGGCTGAGCCTGGGGGAGCAAGACACAGCTAGGGGCATGTTCGGATCGAGCTACCGAGCAGAGACAGACAGATCCAATGTGATGTGGCTTTCGCCCATCCCCTCTTTTCCCCCCGGGTAATCGGGCTGACAGACGTCAAAACGCTCTGTCTCGGAGGCGCTTTGGTCAATTACTTGGCTCCTCATGACCAAGAGGTCTGTCTGGGTTGCGTTGGAAATGGTTTCGCAAGGTGAGGTACGGATACGGATAGAGGTCAAAGACGGCAACGTCACGTGTGGTATTATCCCGAATACACCATGGTGTACTCTGTACTCTGTACGAGGTGAGGTATTATCCTGAGGTAATTCGGGGGGCTTCTTCTGGCTGCGCAAAAATGCGGTGATTGGCCATGTTGGGAACATCCAACAGAGGCAGAGCAAATAAGCATGTCTTGGTCAAGCTATCGTTTCCAACCATGTCGTCAGTTCCCGAAGAGTGACACGAAAAGCGCGCACTGCGCAGAGGTTCAAAAATAGCAACGGGAGGCGATCTCTGGCTGGGGTCCCCCCTGTGGAGACCCTTTCGAAGGCGATACCTAGGTGCTTACTGCGGTCAATCATGTACCTCTGTACCTCTCCACGGGGCCCATCCATTGCTTTTGTCAGCGATCTGCTGTCCACCGTGGCCCAGTAAGGAGGCTTCTCGGATTGCTGATGATGGTCATGGTGACGAGTCGCTCTTTGCTCAGTGGAGATCTCGGTCGATGACTTGTTTACTCAGTCTGATGTTCCTGTTCGTGTTCATGTTCAGTCCCCATCTAAATGCGCCAAATGGCATCCCTTCGTTGGATGGCATAGATGTGTTTGCTAGTGACGACCCTAGAAACTAGGACACATCCCGCGTGGCTTGGAATTCTTTTCTTGGACATGCTGGAGAAGTCGTCGGCAGATGGAAATGGGGCCGGTCGAATGGCGGAGGCTGGTGAAGGATAAGAAGCCACACACCCTTGTTTGTGGTGGCGGCGCTGGGCCTCTGGAACTACATACTCTGTAGTGTAGATCTACAGCGTGCAAGCCACTCGCTTTTTCTCCTTCACCCGGTACCCAATCAGTATGGGTATGGTTCAATCAACTGCAAAGAAAAAAAGTGGGAGGTGGGCTTCGACACTACCCACTACCGGTACTCAGATTCTCCAATTTTCCAACTTTGGGAACAACAAATACTCGGCTGGCTGGCCGGCTGCACAACCATCTGCGTACCTATTGCCCTGGTCATCGGTTGTCGGAACTTGCGTAGGTCGAGCTGCCAGAGTCGGTGAAGTGACATGAATGTGAGGCGATGGGAACGAAGCAGAGTTCAGCCGCTTTCAATATGCACCACGAGTCAAGTCAGCCTCTGAATAAAACCTCTCATCGGCGTGTTTTTCTAGCCCTGGTCTGTGTCTGTCAGTCGTTGCGAGGTTAACCAGCTGCAGGGCTGCCAGATCGATCTGCATGGGAAGAAGCCCTTCACCGCATAAGACTGGGACCCGCGTTGCAGACTTCCCACCCAAAATTGGTCGTGGCAGGAGGGTTGGCGGTGCAGGAGAGTAGGCGGTCGCCTATTCTTTTGTTTACATCACTCAACTGGTAATGAAGACGAAAATGCAAAAGAGGTTGACTTGGTTACCGACCTCGCCAGTATCCAATTATTTGACGAGTTCGGATGTATCTGTACATCCTCGCATGTTCTCCATCAGAAGGCCTCCTCGCCCGCTGGGAAAGATACGTACGTCATCGAGCCCCAGAGAAACATTTGCATCTTCAATTCTCACACACGGATCGTCCTCGGGCGGTACAAACGGTGCCGAAGGCGAGACGGGAAGCCTGTCTGGGTCCAGGGAGGGGTGAGACCGTTTCTTGGCCCGAGCATCAAGCATCAAGCATCAAGCACCAGGCACCAATAAATCAAAGTATCAAGCAACTCAAGCAATAAGCAGTTTTAAGCATAAGACAAGATCTTGGTGCGATTGGGCAGAAGATCTCGGTGCGGCTCCCACTGCACACTCTGTCGCGCAATGCATATTCCATGCTTTTGAGCGTGGTGATGGCGTGCGGTGGAGGGAACAAGGCTGTTCAAGAAGCAGAGATGGGCAGTCAGAGGTAGGGAAGCCCCCCGTGGCATCGACACTCGACTCAGGGGCACCCTCCATCCGCTGCGTTCAAGGTTTGGAGGGTGAGACGTCGAGCGACCGTCCACTCTGTGTTTTCTCTTTGGCTTGGGACATGTCTCAAGTCCGTGGAGTATCCGTACGTCTTCACCACTGGTCCGCTAGTTGAATGGGCGGGAACCAGTAGAGTGGGAAAGCTGGCAAGTAAAGGTGACAATTAAAGGGACACGCCACGTCTTGTAAGTGAAAAGGTAGCTGATGCCACACGCTGCCTTTATTTCCTAGCTCCGTCTCGGGCTTACTACGCAACAGCTAAAGCAGCTAAAGCACTCTGGATGAGGCCGCGCCCATCCTTGGTACAGACTACAGAGGGACGCAAGCTCACAACCCCGGTCTGAATCTGCATGTAACGGGCATTGATGGGGAGAATGCGCGAGGAGACAGATACATTGGTACACAGCGATGCGACTTGAGACAACTTTTGAGACCCTTATTGGTGAAGACAGAAGTCAGCAGGGGAGGAGTCGGATGGTGAGATGTGCTCGGTGGTGGGTTAAAACATCACGCATCACCCTTTTTTTTTTTTTTTTTCTTACTGCGCTGCACGTCTTGCTGACGGACTTGGGCCCGATGCACAATTCGGAGCAGCTATGGGAAAAGGAGGCTGTGTAAGTCTGAGAGAGATAAGATGTACGTGTACATTTTGGCAGCGCATTTTTGTCCCAGTGAATTGTAGATGATAGACAGCATTGTTAGACGCGCCAGGCAAGCATAGTCAAAAGTGATGTGAAATCATAGTGGCTAGTGTTGGAGCCTTCTTCTCTGTGGTTTCGTATTTTCTCTTCTCTTGTGTATTCCACACAGCAGGGGGGTGAATACCGTGGTGACCAGGTATAGTACAAAGACCAGTGTGACTGCGCCATGCCGCCATGCAGCCCGCCCACACACCCCGGAGCCCCACCGGGGAAAACGGGGGACGGACTGGGGGCCGCGCAACCAACAAGGTCCAAGAACGTTGGAACTCTGCCGCACCTCTTTCTTCAGCTTCGGCGCACTCTCTTGTCTGATATTTCTCCAGCCCCATCGGGATGGCCTACGTGACGGTATGGCTGCGGAGTACGGAGTATGGCCAAGGCTATCCGCTTGGGGGGCATGCTTGGTGGAAGGACGAGGAAACATCCAAAGTGTTCCCCTCGCCCTCCTTGGCCTGGCCTTGCGAGGGTCCTCCCTCCATGGGCCGCACATATTAAGAACTGGACGTCCGGCACCGACCTTTCGTTTGGCCTGGCCTTCACTCCGAATACGCTGCCTCGCCTTACATCAGACTCTGTGATTTAGCCTGCCTTGGATCTCCCTTTAACCTACCTTGTTCGGTAACATCCCGTCTCTCGTTGCCCTGCCCAATTCAACCTCCTCGCTTACTCCAGTCTCCGCCCTTCGACTGGCTCTAGCCATATCTCTCTGCCTCGCTCTGGCCTCGTGGGATATTCCTCTGCCTGGTTTTCCTGCTTCCTTGCAATTTGAGCCAACCTCCTCATAGTTGCGCCCAGTGCAGAGCAAGACCCTCAGAACGACGATCACTTCTTCCCAAGTTGATTTAGGTGACCGTCTCCCGGCTTCGTCGATTTTGGGATCCGAGGTTTTTTGGGTTCAAGTCTTACACGGACAACACCACGACTCAACACCAACAAATTATACACACTCACACAGATCAGCAACAAAAAGATGGTCTTCTCACTCCGCAAGGTCTTCGCGGCCCTGCTCGCCACAACTGCCACAGTCTACGCGCTCCCATCAGACTCCTCGTCAACAGGGTCGACCGTCAGCACCACATCTTCAAATGCGACAGTCTGCAACAACTCCCCGTCCCTCTGCAGCCGCAAGTACAACAACATCACCCACATGGGCGCCCATGACAGCGCCTTCCTGCGCGACGCCAGCACCTCAAATTCTATCGCCGGCAACCAGTATTACAACGCCACCGTCGCCCTCAACTCGGGCCTGCGCCTGCTCCAGGCCCAGGTCCACGTCGTCAACGACACCTCGGGCAGCGTCCTCCGGCTCTGCCACACCACCTGTAGCTTGCTCGACGCCGGAACCCTCGAGAACTGGCTCTCCGCTGTCAAGGACTGGATGGACAAGCACACCGACGACGTCGTCACCATCCTCCTCGTCAACTCGGACAACCAGGCCGCCTCGGCCTTTGGCAGCGTCTTTGAGTCCTCGGGCATTTCCAAATATGGCTACAAGCCCTCCACCTCCTCCGCGACCTCCAGCTGGCCCACCCTCCAGACCATGATCGACGCAGACACCCGCCTCGTCACTTTTGTCGCCTCCATCACCGCCGACACAAACTACCCCTACCTCCTCCCGGAATTCGCCTACGTCTTCGAGACGGCCTACGAGATCACCTCCGCCGCCGGCTTCAACTGCACAATCAACCGGCCCTCAACCTACTCCACCGCCGTTGCCGCCGTCTCGGCAAACATGCTACCCCTCATGAACCACTTCCAGTACCAGACCTTGGCCACAGACATCCTGATCCCGGACGTCAGCGACATCGCGACGACAAACTCGCCCTCCACCAGCACGGCGGGCAACCTCGGCCTCCACGCGCAGACGTGCAAGAGCCAGTGGGGTATGAAACCCGTCTTCGTCCTCGTCGACTTCTTCAACAAGGGTCCCGCCATCGACACCGCCGATAACCTCAACGGCCTGTCCTCGTCCGACATCTCGGGCCGCAGCAGCAGCAACAGTGCCACCGCGAGCTCCAGCAGCGGTAAATCCATCGGCAGAGCGCCCGGCGGCATGGAGACTGGGGCGCTTGTCGCATTCCTCGCTGCCGCGGTGTTCTTGTTTTAAGGGGTCTTGTCGATTTCGTTTCCGGGCGGTCCGGGACTGTCATCAGGGTCCGAGCCAAAGAAGACGTGACACTTTTCATGTAAAATTTTCATGGGAAAAGTGTCTGTGGGTGTGCGTGTCCTGATGGGAAGGGATATATCTCGGATGAACACTACGATTCCCCTTCAGTTCCTTCCATTTTTCTGTCTTTTTCCACAAAAAGATGCATAGCGACGGCGTTCTATCAGGAGCCGAAATCATCGGCATAAACGACTCTTATTGTTACAAGTTTAATCATGTATAACCCGGGGGAAACGGGACCCCGCGAGTGTTGTTTTGGGCAAGGGAAGAGCAATGTACATGTTGGATACAGAGCCTTTTCGGGATTTAGGGTAGTGGCACCCCAGCTGATCAGGCCATAATCAATGGGTCAGATAGAAACCGGGCATTCAGAGAAATATTGCTCAGGCTATTATGGAAAATAATCATGATGACATAACTCACGGACGCTGTCGTGTGTTTGATGAAGTGAAAAATGAGTGGACTTACATGTCGGGTGATGATGAGAAAAACTTAATGAGGAAAGAAGACGACCCCTCCTCTGGACGGTTAGGAACGGACCAACCCCACCCCTCATTGCATCATTGGGCGACTGCTCTGCAGAATGGCCGCATCTCAAAGTTGACGACACGCCCACCTAATCTTCCTACACAATATCCTCACGATCTTTTAGACGCCCATTTGTTGCCTTCAGATTTACTTCCCGTTTCCTAAGCTCAAAAATCTGAGCGTGAAGCCAAACACTCACCACCCCAAAGCTCCACGACTCTCAACGCCCTACCAAAGTCGCGCAGTGTAGTTCCCACCACACGCCACTTGTCACCAAACTCACATACAGCCAGCACCACCACCGATACATACACACAAACACACACCCACAATGTCCACCGAAGACTACTCCAAGATCCCCACGCCCGAGGCCGCCTACGCAGACTTCTGCCTCATCCCCGTCGGCACCGGCAGCGTCTCCGTCGCCAACGAGGTCGCCCAGGTCCAGCGCCTCCTCAAGGCGAGCGGGCTCAAGTACACCATGCACTCGGCCGGCACCACCGTCGGTACGTCTGTCCCTCCGATCCCTCATCACACGCAATCACTCCGTCTCTCTCCCCCCCCCTCCCTCTCTCTCTCTTGCCTCCAGTCTGTGGCTGGCCGAATCGGGAAATGGTAATAAACTGACATAACTGTGCTTCTCCCGTCCACAGAGGGAAGCTGGGATGACGTCTTCCGCGTCATCGGACAGGCGCACTCTCTCGTCCACCAGAGCGGCGTCGTGCGGATCCAATCTTCGATGCGCGTCGGGTCGAGGTTCGTCTATCTGAAATAACTTTCAAACTCAAGAAATCGCAAACAAGCAATGTTTTAATGGAGAGTGTTTGAGAGCTGATGATGTGGTTTTATCCCCCTTGCGCAGAACGGATAAGAAGCAGTCGGCCGCCGACAAGGTGAAGCGGGTGGAGGGGATTCTGGCACAGGACCAGTAGCGTGTGATCACTGAGAGAGAGCCGTGGAGCGGGACGGAACCGGGAGTGAAGTCGCAAGACGAGCGTTGACAGCGTATTAATATATGATTTGGCACACAAGATATACTATTTGATTCCCCCCGCCGCCGCCTTTCGTGATGGTACAGTTATACATCTCAAAGTCTTCGAAGATTTGTAATATTGACACCGCTGGCACCCCGCCCCCTTTGGAACCCCCCCAAAACCGCCCTTGGCCTTTTTTTCCCCCCTCAAGATTAAAAACATTGATATGGGTTAGCAACTTTTTAGGAAGCTTCCTACTGGAGAAAGCGTTCAGCACTACTTAACCGCGCGTGGTCTGCTTCTTCATGCTCTTCTTCAGGTCGCGCTCGCGCTCCCTCTCAAGGTACTTCTTTTGTGCCTTGGCGTCCAGGGCGCTGAGCTCGGCGTCGCGCTTGGCCTTCTTCTGCTTCTCGCGCTCGAGGGTGCGCTCCTCGGCCTTCTCCGCCTCGGCGGCCTTCTTGAGCTGGGCAATGGTCTCCTCGCGCACGCTGCGCACCTTGCGCAGGACCTCGGGGCGGAAGTGCGCGCCCGAGACGAGGGCATCGGGGATGCGGACAAAGTATCCAAAGAGGGGTAACAGGGAGTCGTAGTTGTTGCTCGAGGGGATGCGGTAGCGGAGGAAGACGCGCTTACGGGGGTTGGTTTCCTCAATGCTTTGAACTTGTCAGTATGAAATAGCAAGGGCAAGCTGCTGTCAAAACTCACGTGCTGGGACGCTCAATGGGCTGGTCAGAGACGATGAGGTAGTCGAACGCGTCGCCGGCAGATTCGACGGCCTTGATGAGCTCAGGGGTCAACAGCTGCTCGGTGATCTCGGCGCTCTCGCTCATGACAGTGACCCAGTTGGGAAGCTTGGCATTGTCCTTGGTGAAGGTGATGGAGACGTCGTAGCGATCATCGCGAACCTGCTTCATGCGTTCCTTGGAGACAATAGCCCAGACAAAGTTATCGTACGTGCTCTTGTTCTCCTTGCTGCGCAGCTCGTGGGTGCCGGGGATGGCAGGGACAGTCAGGCTTTCCTTGCCGTCAAAGGGGTAGATGACTGCCTCAACAGAGTCGTGGGGAGCCTGGACAGAATCCATGAAGAAGCTGGTGACGGCCTCGATAATGCTGAGGAACGGGTTGAAGCGCTTGGTCAGCGTCAACTTGACGTCCATGAACGCGATATTCTGGCGGCCGGTGCCGTAGGCGGCAAACTCGAAGAGAGACTTCTCGCGCAGCAGGCCCGTCGGGTCCTTGGGGTCGGTGTCGGTGGTGGAACGCGGGGAGAAGCCGACGGAAGCGAACTCGGACTTGAGCACCGGCGCGTGGGCGGTGGCCCAGGATTTGGCCTTCTTGCGATTGAGGCGCGAGCCAACGATGTGCAGGAGGAAGATGACGGCGCTGACCGCGAGGATGGCGCCCTCGAGCTTGAACTCGCTGAGGGTGTGGCGCTCGTGGATGTTATACCACTTCGTGTAGGGACGTCCCGTGGCCTCGGGCGCGCCGCCGAGAGTCGTGCCGCCAGGGGCAGCCGTGAAGGCGCTGGGCGCGGGCGACGGCTCAGCAGCACCGGCAAAGTCTGCAAAGTCTGTATGCGAGAGATAATTGCGTCAGTTTGAGGAGGATGTGGATTTTGTGGGTGCTGAGGGGAAACTGGGAGCTTTGACAGCACGGGGGGAGTTTAGGGGAGGATGGGAATTGGCTCTCGAGAGTAGCGTACCGGAATCGCCGCTGGGAATTGGGGATGCAGAGGGCTTGGAGCCTCCAAAGAGGCCGTTGAGGATGTTAGCCATGGTCGCGGTCGGGGGATGGATGGCTGGCTGCGGTGGTGTCGAGATTCAAGACTGCAGACAGTGAATCTGCGACCTTGTGAGGAGGTATCGCCAACCAGAAGGCGAAATTAGGCCAGTCGTCAACCTGTCGTTAGCCAGTCACATCGCTTTTCTGGAAGCTGGGGCAAGTGACGTTTCTCCACCTTTTCGTCTGAATGCGGTCGACCGTCGGACCCAGGTCGGTGGGTCCAGTGTCTCGTGCTCGGGTCCTTTAGCGGTTCCGGGACAATGCCCCTTCCGTTCATGCTCTGGTTGTCTGGACGACCTGGATGAAATGTCAATAGATGCCAACGTCAGTCATGGCGATATCATGTCATAAAGCCACAATACTAAAATCATTCGCCTTGGCATACCAATCCTGCATGGACTCGCGAAGAAGAAAAAATGGTGCGAACAACGGCAGCTCGTACTTATGGCAAAACTTCGACAAAAGCAAAAGCAAGGCGGCTCTTTGCTGAACTGCCTCAAAGCCCGATACGGAAGCCTAATGCGACGGTTACGGTAGACTCTGACGATGACACAATCATCAAGATTACCGAGCAACTCAATGCTGTTGGGATCCATAACGAGTCCTACTCCTCGGAAGATGAGCTCTCAAGAGACTTCAGCGCGGTTGTCGTGGCATCTCCGCCAACACCACAAAAACCGGAAACTCCGCCGAGGGCAGTGAAACAAACCCCGAGGACAGCTAAAGGATCGAGGAGAAAAGCGAAGGAACCGATTCCTACACCGGTAAAAAAGGCCGAAAAGCCCGGGACCAAAGCTTCTGGAGCGCCAGTACAGCCTCAACCTGACTATCGCGTTCTTACTTGGGAGGATGTGTGCCCGCTCGGAGACACGATCGAGAAGATTGCCGAGGCTTCCTACGCAGAAGTCTACCGCGTACGAAACGAGCGCGGGACGAGCATCATCAAATGCATCCGTCTGGAGTCGCCCATCAAAGCGCAAACCAAGGCCCAGGAGCGCTCTGGATTGGTTGACGAAGAGCCGCACTCAGAGGACGACATGCGAGGTGAATTACGCATATCCGAGTGGCTCGCCGACGTTCCCGGTTTCGTCATTTACAAGGAGCGCTACCTGGTCAAAGGAAAGGCCCCAAAGTGCTTGCTCGAGACGCACCAAGGCTTTCATCGAAAGATGAAGCGCAAGGACCCGGACAGGTTGCAATTCTACCCGAGCCCGAGTCGCTATCTCGACGACACCACTTTCCTGGTGGTAGAGCTTGGCGACGCAGGAACAGCTCTCGAAGATTTCGAATTGACAAACTCCAGTCAACTGTGGGACATTTTCTTCCATGTGGCTGTTGCACTGGCCAGGGCAGAAGATCTAGCTTGCTTTGAGGTATGTTGACATGGTGATTGAGCCATGAGGGACGTCATGAGCTAACAAGGTCAGCACCGTGATCTACATGAGGGCAACCTTTGTATACGAAGAACGGAAGACCCGCAAACGCGGAATCCGAAGAAAGCAGGGCCATACTTTGGCTACTCTGGTCTTGACATAACGATTCTGGACTATGGACTCTCCCGCGCTGAGGATCTCGAACTAGACGAATCTGAGCCTATTGCCCTCGACCTCGAGAAGGATCTCAGCATCTTCACCAGTACCCATGCCCCGCAATGCAAAGTCTACCGCCAAATGCGATCCTTCCTTCTACGCGGCGAACGTGGGCATTTGCCACCATCGGTCCACAAAGTACCTTACGCCACGGGGGTAGATGGCGAACCCCTGTCGTGGGATGTTTTTGTGCCGTACACAAACGTGCTATGGCTGGCTTACCTCTACCAGTATATGGCCAAGGGGTTCAAGGGCGACAAGAAGGACCTGTCGGAGTTCAAAAAGATCACAAAAGAGCTATGGAAACATCTCGATCCCGATGCTAAGGCTGGAACGCCAGCATTTGGGACTTCTGCCGAGGTTGTGAGGTTTGCGGTTGAAGCGGGCTGGATAGATGAGTCACAGCTCATGGGAGAAATTGAGGAGGACAGGGAGGAGAGCATCATCCTTTCCAGAGAGGAGGTGGAGGAGCTGGGGCTGCGACGATCACCGAGAAAGCTGCGGTGATGTTGGAATTTTTTTTAAGAAAAAGCCGAGTTTGAATTTACGGCGCATAGCATACCAAGGAGCATTGGAGCTGGGGCATGAGAAATGGGGCATGCATAGATGATTGCTAATACCCAATTGACAACTTTTTGACGCAATCTACTGTCTGGCATTCGCCGCCATCCATGCAAAAATTTCCCTAACCTGCAGCTTACAGGCTACGAGAAAGGTTCACCACCAAGAATACGGAACAGACGAAGTCAGAACCACAAGAAATCCCTATACGGATATCGCGCACGTTCATTTCATATGGGGCTGGATTTTGTTCCTCGTCATCAACGTCCTCTTCGCCAGCGGATTGCCGACGAGGATCGAGAATGACGAGAACGAGAACGAAGACGAGGAGTACGAGGAAGACGTGGAGATGGTCGACGTTGACGATGAGGGAGACGATGGTGAGGAGGAGGAGAATGGCGATGATGAGCCCGATCCTATTCTGATTGAGGATGAAGACAACAGCGACCCTGACGATGAGGGCCCGAATGCCCCTAGAGGCGGTGACGGCCAGGGACCCAATCCTGCCCAAATCCCTGATCTAGGACCTGAGCCTATACGCATCTTCTCCCCCTGGACGTATATGTATTACATCCGCACTACGTATAAGGACAGGGAGGAGGGCCGATCCCCCGCCGAAGAGCTCCCGGCTGTCGACTGTTGCTACCTCCTTGAGGGAGGTAATGGTTGCGTCCAGTGCAGTGGTCGTGGTGACTTGTGCGCCGTGGTGACTTGTGCGCCGTGGTGTGTCCCTCTATTCTCTAGGTTTTCGCGAGGGGGTAGCTTACCAATAGTAGGCTTCTCGGCGACCGTCTTTCTCATTGTGGTCATCGTGACAAATGGCGCAGCTAGAACTAATAGTGAGGGACAGGCCTAGGACCATGGGATACATCCCTGCGGACGCAAAAGTTTCGTCTCTAGTGACTCCCGTCATACTCAACGAGACATGTCGCAAGGCCTTGGGTGGCGGGTCATAGCCGATAGACGAGCTGGAGAAGGCGTCGAAGAAGTTATGTGTCAGATTCCGGGGGAAACAAGCTCTCTCACGATCGCAGTAACCTTGAGAGGGAACCTTACAGGGACAGCTCGCATAGCGAAAGGTTTGGGTGAAAGGTCATACGACCAACTAGCTTGAATAAGAGCCTGTTTGTCTTTCTTGTCTGATGGGTGAATGGCACGAAGTGGCCGCCATGTGTTCCAAGTGGGGTCAAGCTTGAAACTGTACGAGAGAGGCAGACTGTTCTACTCATACGAGTACATATCTTTATACGAGAAAGAAAAGCTGTGTATTCTCACTCAACAAAGGATATGATCCAGTCCACGACAAAATCAATCAAAATTTATATGCACTCGCCGGAAAGACTATGAAGACACAGCAAAAGATATCTCGGAAACCGTTCCCGGCCCTATAGCTCCGATCAGCGGTAGTGGAAACTGTGACGACCTTTCTTGTGAGAAGAACTACCGCTTATACCCTTGATCGACGCTCATTCATTTTGATCAAAACGGGAGAGAATGACAGATGAATTCAGCTCGATACCCTGTTCTTTCCCCCCGCCTTCGCCTTCTGCCAAAGCCAATACCCGCAAATTGGCGGCGAATAGTGACCGAGACTCGATATTTCCCATGAGTTGCTGCCCTCACAAGATTGAGGCTTCCATTTCGACAATCATGTCATTCTCGGGAGAGAGGGGTATATTACTCTAATCATCTCTTTTTTTGCCGTCTAGTACCAGAGCTCTCGCCACTCCTCAACCGGCAAGCAACTTATCATCAGTCTCAAGAACCTTTTCCTGAACACTCTGATCCTCCCCCTCCGTCTTCTTCTCCTCTTCCTTCACTTCCCCATTCGTCACACCAGCCGCCGTAGCCGCCGCCTCGCCATTGCTCGTCGCCCCCTTCAACTTGGCCTTATCCTTCTTACTCAACGACACAGCCCCCTTGGCCATGGCTTCCTTGGGCAAAGGTCGGATGATCGGCTGCACGACCCACCAAGGCCTCTTGCACCTCTTCACCGCGCCCCTCGAACTCTCCCCGTTCTCCTCAATCACCTCCGTCGCGTCGGCCTCGGGGCCGAGCACCTCATCACCAAAGAACATGTCGGCGCCCCGGGCCTCGTACTCAATCAGCCCGTCTGCGACCTTCCTCTCGACCATGCCCAGGATCCTTTCGTACGCCTCCAAGTCCCCGGCCCGGCTCCGCGCCAACAGGTCCCGCACGTCCGTGTGCTTCGACACAAAGTGCCGCAGGAGGTGGAACATGTGCGGCTGCATCGCCGAGTAATTCGGGCTCAGCGCCCGGCTCTTGGCCGATTTGGGCCCGTTCGTCACGTCCCGCCGGCGCTTCTTCCGCTCCGGCTCCTCCTCCTCCGCCGCCGTCCTATCCATCTCCTCCATCCACGCCGTGTCGTCGCCCGGCACAAACAGCGGACGCCGCGAGGGTGGGTCCTGGCCCGCGGCGTACTTGTGCAAAATGTCCATGTACCGCCTCATCACCGCGTCGACGCGGTATCCGCCCTTGCCGTCCCTGCCGCGCCAGTATTCCCTCGTCTCAGTGCCTGGCTCCGGCGGCCGGCCGAAGATGGTCGGGTCGCTAAGGTTTCCCTCCGCGCTCATGACACCGTCCGCGCCCGTGGCGTCCAGCGCGCGCTGGAGGTCCGCGTGCTGCAGGATATTACCGTTTGCGAAGAGCACCGTCTCCGGCGGCAGCTGGCCCCTCAACCATTTGATGGTGTCCCAATCCGCCAGGCCTGTCAGGTGGCCCTTCTGCTCCCTCAGTCTCCCGTGGACCGTGAGGATCGACGCGCCCGCCGACAGCACGTTCTTGGCGTAGGCCAGCGTCGCCTCTCTGGTATCCAGTATCCTAATCTTCGCCGTCACGGGGATCGGGAGGTTCTTGTGCAGGGTGTTGATGAGCTTGAAGATGAGCTCTTGGTCCTCCTGCAGAAACGCGCCGTATTTTCCCTTCTTGGCGATGCCCTGTGGACACCCCAAGTTCAGGTCCACGGCGTCGCAGTACGGCGCGACCCTGAGCGCGGCGCCCAAGAGAGCATCGGGATCGTTTGCGCAAAATTGCACAAACAGAGGTCTGTCGATGGCAGGGTTGCCGTCGAGCCAGGGTTTGGTCGTCGGAGTCGCATCGTTCGAGTCGTCGGGTCTAACCGCCTGGAAGTGGCACTGGCGGTAGTTTTCAGTGTCTTTGTACAGCCGGGCATGGAACATTGGTGTGTAGGCCACCAAGTTCTTCTGCTCGGACGCCGTAATGAACGAACGACTCAGCATTCTCCATGCCTGTAAAACCAGTCGGTGCCGTCAGCATTTCAGCCAAGACAGCGCCTTACCCAGGCCACCGGCACGAGCTATGCAAACCTACAAATTCAGATTGATCCACCATAGGTGCGAGTATGTACTTTGGGCTTCCAATGCTCTCATAAAATGCTCGGCCGTGCAGCTTCGGTTTGGCCGCAGCTGCGGCCGCTCCGGCCTCAAGCCCCGCGGTTGGGGCCTCTGTCGTTTTCGCCATTCTCGTCGAGGCAAAGAATCGGGCGAGCCGGGTTGTTCGAGACGTCCGGAGCCTCCAGAGTCTGAGAAACCCCTCCAGGATTTCGACTGTGTTGGATTCAAGAACTAAGTGACCGAGTTTGACATTGCGCGTTGACTGGATCTCGGTTGACGCTGCCGTTACTCCGTAGGTCGTGTTGGCAGAATTTTTAATCGAGCCTTGCACACTAATAGAGTGCGAGGCTGAGAACCCCAGATGGGAAACTGTGCCTGATTGGGTGGGACCATGGGCCCAGTTTCTTCCCCACACAAGATGCCGCGAGGGAAGGGGAACTGTCACGTCCAGCAAATGACGTCGTCCCGCCGATCAAGGAGAACGGCCTGCGGAGACAAAGTATCCGGCACTGCGGCTTCTTAATCTCTACTGGGCTCATCTGGTTCTAGCACTGAGACGGTGTGTCAGACCATCCGTGACACACGCAACCCAACAAAGGATTGCTTGCGTAAGGGCAGAACCATGCACATGCAAACTTTTCACCACACGCGCTCTAGTCCGCTCTAAACTATTCAATTCGCTGGAGCGGTCGATACCAGCATCAAGACCTCGCTGAGACTAAGCTGATCTTTTGGAGAAAAAAGCCTCACTCTATTGGGCCTCTTCCTCTTGGCCCGACGAACTTTGAAGGCGATGTAACTCGAAGAGAACCGACAGGTAACGAAAAGTCCTTACGCCCTTACAAAACAAATATCGAAACACTAAAACTCGACCGAGTGCCAAGTGTGTGCGATGCCATCTTTTCAGAAATTCGCATCCGGTCCGTCAGAGGACTTGGGCTCAGCTGATCAAGTGTAAGAGGTCACCGCTATTATCGCCTTCATGTCCTCGAGGTCCGTGTGATAGCTGCTCAAATGCAAACAGGCCATCCGGCCCGTAGTCTGCACTGACTGGCCGCTGGAAGGCTGTCCCGTCCGGCCGCCGTCTTCGTATACCTCCTGCCCATTGTGAAAATAGTAAAAAAGAATTAATCGACAAAGGGCGGCCGGGGAAGGCTTCTCAGTCAGGCAAGAAAAATGCTGTCGCGTGACGATTGTAAACGCCCCGACACCGTACGATGCTGTTCCTGAACGCCGTCGAATGGTAAATGTAGTTGAAATACATGATTGGGACGTTGGTGCCCATTGTCAAGAAGCAAAAGAAGGAAGATTCCGTCTTGCAGGCGTGGCCGTCGTTAGAAGAAGTGCGTATAAATCTTGGAGTTTTCGTGGACTTCCATTTCCTGTAAACAGTTAGCGATACGTGCATTGAGAGCGTGTGAAAATGAGAGCATACCATCTTGAATGTGTTGAGCTCCTCCTTGATCTGCTGGGCCAGTATCGGCGTAAGGAGATTGCAGGTGGCAATCTCGCCCCTGCGGTCGTACTCGCCGCTGGGCCAGGTGTCGTGGAAAACAAGCCTCGGCGAGAAGGTTGCGTTTCTTTTGGCGGAGCCCGAAGGCGTTCCCGGGGCACTCTTGGTGTCCTGACGCAGCCTCAAGGCGGTCATAAAATAGTCCTCGTTGCCAATGGCGACGGAACCGGACCGCTTGTGGCCCTGAGCATCATCATTTGGCGTGCTGGGTGCGGTTGAGATAGGAGAGTCGGCGACGTTGGGAATTGCGGGTAAGTCAAAGTTGGAGCGCGGGTCGCGAGCCGGGCTACCTGATCGGTTGTGCTTCAAAATGCCTTTCCTGACAGCAGCAAGCACCACGGCACGCTCCTTGTCGCCATCGACGATGCTCTTTCGCCTCGCGCTATCGGTACCAGAACTTCCAGCGCGTTCCGAAACCATGCTAGGGGTGTTTGAGATATCCAGCGAGTTACGTTCCAGATGAGGGAATCCGGTGCCGCCACCGTTCTGTGCGTTAAGATCAGCGTTGACATTGACTCTCTCGGCTTCAACAGTGACCATTGACACGGCAGCCTGGCTGGCTTCAGGGGCCAGCGCATCCGCTGCCGGGACGCCAATGACGGATTTTGGTCGGAAGAGACCGACAAGGTTACGGGTGCTCTTCTTCATGCCGCGACCCATTTTACGGATCATGATGGAAGCAGATGATGCCGTGGACGAGATGGACAGGTTATCTGTCGAGCTGGAGAATAGCCTTCCGCCATAGATGCTGTTCCCGATGCCTCCTTCCTCCTGCTTCTTCGCGATAGCAGCCTGTTCAGCATCGTAGATTTCGGCCGCTGTCGGCTCCTTGTGCAATCTGGACGAATCGGTTGCAGCATTTTCGTCAATAGTAGGTTCGAGACCAGAGGCCTTTTTGAAATCGGCAGCGCTGCCGAACGAAAAGGCTCTGCGCAATCGCGATGTCTTGCTCTTTGATTTTGTACTTTTCTGGTTAATCGCAGCCAAATGCTGGGCGGCGGGGCTGCTAGCGTTATTGTTGTTGTTGGACGCACTCGTGCTCTGAGACAACACCTGTCGCGGAGCACTGCCCAGAGAGGAAGGTGGCTTTTGGGGACTCGAATCGGTCGCCATGGTCACCGGCTTGGAGAGAGGAGAGGGAGTAGACTGCCGCTTAGCCGCATCTGAAGATGAGCTTCGTGGAGGAATGTTCACAAGTTTGGGATAATCTTGCTTCGATGAGCCATCATCCAAGTGTGAAGGAGTTGAAGAGGAAGAGGGGTTGCCCGTGGGGGTGGGTACGCTGCGGTTGGCAGACTGGTGGAAATAACCTTGTTAGCGATGGAACACTTGAGGATGGCTGGGCCAGTGCGTGATTGGGCAATCGAATGAAGGGATGAGGCGGAGACAGAGCGGCGCCTGCAGCGACACCGCAAAAACCGAGTATCGACTTACCGAAGATGGTCTGGAGTGGCTGCTGCGACTCGATGTAAGGCTTTCAGCGCTGCCATTGCGGACGTGCATGTTGTTGTCGCCGGGAGGTGCAAGATTGGAAACGATGCGAAGTGTCTTTTCGCTGTTTTTGGGAGTTGGCACGCGGTCGGGTCGGGAGGAATCTTCCGGGTGAGTGAATTCCTGTGGGGTTAGTGGCTTGGGATAGTCGGCAGAATCAAGCGAGTGCATGCTGCGCCGCCTAAGTCGCTTGCTGTCTTCTGCACTTGGTTGATGATTTAATTGCATGTCATCAACTGCACCATAATAACTGTTTGGCCTGCTCTGGAAAGACGGATTCCGGCCTCGCACTGACGCGCTCTTTTGCTCGTTGGAGCCGGGAGCATTGTACAAATGACTAACAGTCGCCATGCCTGAGCCTGACGGGGTACTAGTCTGGCGAGGTTGTTGTTGTTGTTGGAGAGCCGGGCGCCGGTACCTATCAGGCGTTGTCTTAGTCCCAGAGGTCTGAGCGAACGTCATTTGCGGTGTCGTGTTGCCTGCCAAATACGCCGACTGGGGTCTCAGAGCCTGTGAATTCGTGCGAGCAGCAGGAATGCCCGAGTCGTCCCTCGAACCGCCTTTGCTGGTTCCCATGCCGTGGTTGTAGGCAGCGTTCGGTACTGACGAGCTCCCAGCATGTCGCGAGCGACCAATGTCATGTCCTTGGACTAGGCCTTGCGTTGGCACCGCAGGTGAGGATGCTGTGCGATACCCGTTTCCATATCGTTGCCACTGGTTGTTTGTGTTCAAACTCGGGGTGCTAGTGAAGGCATAGGGCTGGATTGGGGCGTTACTACCGCGATACACTGCGGACCCCGACAAGTTTCTCTGCGACTGTTGAGCAGCCATGTATTGCTGGTTCGCCTGGGCTTGTGCCGGAATCATATTGCCAGAGGGTCTCGACTGGAGCGTGGTAACAGTGGTGGTCTGCTGGGGGTATGTTTGAACCAGCGCGGCCATGTTCCAAGTAGCCGCCGAGAACAGAAAGAGCCGAACGAGTAGTCCTTCGCTGGTCCTGTGGTCCGACGAGTTGCTCGGATTTCAAGCACTACTCAGACGTGACACTCAAAGGGAGAGCGAACTTGGGTAATAACGCAGGCTAGCGGTTGGCTGGCTGGATGTGCAGAATACTGAAGTAGGCAGCCAAGTTAGCAAGGCTCTTTCAATTCGACTTTGGTGTCAGCAGCAAGCCCTTTGCAAATCCAGCGGACGGCTGGATACTGCCAAACGTATGGCACAGCAGGATAACGGTCGCCAGAAATGACCAGGGGAAAGGCACGAGCCTAACGAACCTTTTCTCTCTTTAATATGAAAGTAGGAAACGGGATGATGAATGGTTATTCTGTCCCAAAACCAGCCGTCTTCTTTCTCGGTAGAACGGAGATTGCGGTTGGAATCAGATAGCGATTGTGAAAATGAAGGTCGCCTGCGGCCAGAAGGAACAGCGAGAGTTTCGTCGTACTTAGAATCAAGAAGAATAATGCTTCGCTTCTACCGCAAAGGGAATATTGGAGAGCACTCGTACAGGACGATATGGGAATCGACCAAAGGGAGGCAAAATCAAGCGTCACAGAGACAACTCGAATCAAAGCTAGCAGTCGATCGAGAACATGGGGATGTTAAGCGCTCGTATCCGGCTCGATATCGTAGCGAGGCAATCGTCGGGGACAGGATGAGGTGGTGACGAGTCAGCCACGCAACCTGAAGCTCGTCTTGTATTCGGGGTTTGAGATGGAGGATGTTTCGAGATTTCGGGTCACAAAAAGAAGAAGTTACAGTCGTTAGGCGTGGAGAGTGTGCAGTTTGTGTTGTTTTTTTTTGTTGCTTTCTTTTCTTCGTTGCTCTTGGAAGGACGGATGGACGACACGCAGAAAGGAAAGAAGACAGCAGGAACGGATGAACGAGGCAAATTGTGATTCGGGGGGTTAACGAGGAGACGGGGGAAGAGAAGATGGATCCAATTCGGGAAGGGACCCGGAGAGTCGGGCAACCTCTTGAGAGTTCCGTTATTTGTTTTCGGGAGGAAAAAGGGGGTACGTTGGTGATATGAGCTGGGATTGGGTAGAGAGGCGGCCGAGGGGGAAAGAATAAAAGGAAGAAGGGGAAAGGGAAGGGAAGGGAAAAGACGGTATGTTTTTTTT